GCCCGGCCACAGTGGCCTGGCCCAGACCCAGGCTTGGCCCAGTTGCCCAGACCCAGGCACAGCTGACCACCCGGACCCAGACACGGCTGGGGTGTCGCTCTCCCGGCCCAAATCCAGCCCTGGCCTGGACCTGCTGGGGCCAGGAGAGGGGCACCTATCCTGCATCCCCAGCCCAAGCCCTCACATCCCTGCACCCCAACCCTCTGCCCCCACCTATGAAGAGGGCAGGCAGCCTCCTAGAGTCCCAGACTGACCCCAAAGAATCCTGCCAATTCAGAGCTTGCTATTATATGGGAAACTATGAGTACTTTAAGCCATGTACAGCATGGGTTTCACCTGCCAATGCAGTGCCTCAAACCCCAGTGCAGCAGACAGTCTCATCGTCCTCAACACAGCTCCCCTCCCCCGTCCCCCATACCCAAGGGGTTCAAGGTGCCTCACAATAGCACAGTAAAAACATTAAACAGAACACAACAAAATCATTAGAGTAAGAGAAAAACCCACTCCCTATAAACCTTTAAACATCCCCCACATTGTGGGAGGAAGGGGGCTATAAAAGCTGCTAGGCATTGGAAGGAAGGAAGGGGAGGGAGGGGCTATCCCGTTCTTTTCAAGTATTTATAATTCCTTCAATATTAGAGCTCAGATGGACATCGGGGGAGTGGGTTCCTCACAGTAAGACCCATCACAGAACAGGTGCAATCACCTGCCCACTTAAAACATCACAGCAGGATCCCTCAATACAGAGGTGCTTGAGAGCAAGAACAAAGAGTTCAGGGCCTGCAGCAACAGGATGAATTTAAAGCCAATCCACCATTTCGTAGGCACCCAACACATAAAAAGCAGGGCAGGCAAACAGGACAATGACTGCTCAAGCAGTGTCATCAGCAAAGCTCACCAAGTCACTGCCCATCTCCTCCTCCAGATCTATAATGTATCCATTGGTGTGAACTCCACTCCCTAACACTAGGGTTACCATACGTCCGGATTTTCCTGGACATGTCCAGCTTTTTGGGACTCAATTCCCCGTCTGGGGGGAAATCCCAAAAAGCCGAACATGTCCGGGAAAATAGGGAGGTGCTGGGTCGGGGGCCGGCGGTGCTGGGCCGGGGGTGCTCGGCCAGGGGCTGGCCCGGTGGTG